ATTTCCATCACCATTCTATTTGAGACCTCTTAGGGCATCTCTAAGAAGATTGAGGCTTTCTTTATCGGCTCGTCTTCTACTGAGCCCTCACCAGAGTCACCCTTAACATTCCAGTAGTGGCTATTCAGGCTTTCCCCATGTACCTCCAAACTCTTCCAGCCTCTGCCCATTACCCACTTCCAAAACTGCTTCTTCATTTGTTATGGCAGCTCCTCACTCTTGATACCATTTGTCTTGGTCTATTTAATGAATATTTCTGGTTGGGTGGTAAATATACAACAGAAGTTTATTGCTCACCGTTGTGGAACCTAGGAAGTCGAAAGTCAAGGCACCAGCCATCTCGGTGTCTGATGAGGCCTCATGGACGGTGCTCTTTCCAGCATCCTCCTGTGGTGGAAGGCCATGAACAAGCTTCCTTGGGCTTCTCATGTAAAGTTACATATCCCATTTAAGAGGCTCTTCTCTCATGACCTAATCACCTCCTAAAGGTCCCACCTCTTAACACTGGAGATATATGTCAGCATATGAACTTGGGGGGATACAGACATTCAGAGCAGAGCACCTGTTGACATGGTCAGAAGTGCTCCTCCATTGACTTTTGGGCTTCTGTGCATTAGTCACAGTTCTCTCTCATTTCCTTTGCTCCTGAGAATTCCTATCTTTTAAAAATTCCTCTAGTAGTGGGCATATGGTCAGTCCCCCAGCTTTTTGAAGAATCTCAGTTTGATGCTTGTTTTTAGTGGACTTCCTCAGCCTTAGGAGAGAAAAAGAAGAACGATGCTGGACTCTGAAGGGAGGGAAGAGTGGCAGGACAGTAGAGGGAATGAAGTTGTCTCCAGCGTCCTGAGTGTATGTTTACAGCAGCCAGCCACAGAGTCCTGGTCAGCTAGGGAGAGTGCAAGAAGTGCAAGAAGTGAGCAGGGTGATGGCATAGCTTTGTGAACAGGTTGTAGCAGCTCCAGGGATTGAGGAGGTACCAGCTCTGGCTCTGTGACCTTGGGCAAGTCCCTACTCCTTGAGGCTGAGCATTCAATTCGGACAATCATACTGGATCTAGATTTGGGTGAAGATTAAATGAGACTATGTATACAAGGACGCTGTGCACAATTCTTTGTGCAGAAGTGCTTTACATGTTAATCTATGTGGACACAAGCAAGCTAGTAGGATGGGAGGGGAGAGTTATTCTGAGGCCAGGGGAAATGGAGATATGGCAGGGGAGAGACAGGACAGAGTGAAGGTTTCACCCATCACTCCTTACAGCTGAGCTTGGTCAAGCCCTGGGGTTAGATGTGGATTCCTGCCCCATCACACTCTCCAGGATATTGGTAAGTCTGGGAAACAGAATAAATCCCAGCTATGAGAATGGAGTCTTGACTAGAGAGTGTGGCTGGGGCTATTGTGCCCTCTGCCTCCTTGGGCAGGCAAAGAGGTCCCCTGAGCTCTTAGAGAAGACTGAAAGTAAGTAAAGGAGGTAGAAAGCATAGGAGCTGGTAGCCAGGGTGTCACCAAGCAATAATCAGGTTCTGAGTGTGGGTTTTACAGGGGCAGGGCTGATAGTTAGTGGGGATCAGAGGGCAGCTTGAGGTTTGGGTGCTCTTTAATTAAGGTTCCAACATCTCAAGTCACATCATGTTGGGGCAGCATGGCCACCACTGAGACTGGATGGGTCAAAATGGGTCCCTCGTACATTCTGAAATGGGGAGATAAGAGAGCTATGGCCATGCAGGATGGTCCCGGAGTCCCCTCGGTGGCTGATGATGACAGGGAATGTGAAGAAGGCCAAGAAGGTGCTGTGCTATGCAGCCAGTGTAAATAAGAAGACCATCCCTCTCACTCTGCTTGATGAGGTAGGCCTTTCTCCTCAGCCACAGGCCATCCCAGTCTAATGCTGAGGACTGTGGTGATAGCAAAACTGAACCCTACCTGTGGAAAGCCAACTGGGACTGTGGGGCACAGACTTTGGGGGTCCTGTTAGGGTGGGAGCAAGCCAGGTTTCAGCCCTGCCTCTGGATGGTCTGGTCTGTCCTATAGCTGACCCTCCATGGAAAGAAGGTGACTAAGGCTTCTCTCCTGGACTTTCATAACAATAAGCAAGTCTGCAACCTGATTGTGGTGTTGGGCATTGTGTGGTGAGTATCCAGAGCTGGCTGATGGGGACTGTAAGGAGATGCACAGGCCAGAGACTCCTGTGAGGGAGTAGAGAATGGCTATGTCGCAGAGAGGACCCAGCAACATGCAGAATGGATTTCTGTGCCGACTTCTGTCCTTCACTCCTTCCTTCCCTGACCCTTTCTCCTCTGCCCAGGTCTTTATCCCTGGCTCTGTCCTGTGTATGTCTGTCTGTGTATATGTTTCTCCTGGATCTCCAGGTTTGCCGTCAGTTCCAGCTATTTGATTCTGATTCTCAAGCTGAAAGATCTTGGCATGACCACCTACTTCACACAGGCGCAACGTGGCTTCGTGGAGGTGCCAGCCCGGCTGTGCTCAATGTTTCTTATGGAGCAGATGAAGAAGAAGTGGAGCTTGGCTGTGACTCTCCTTCTAGGTGCTATCCTTTGCCTGCTCTTCACTGTCCTCCCTGAAGGTGCGGCTTCCCCACCCCAACAGGGGCCTGCCCAGCCTATTCACTTCCCAGGTCCCTGGCCAGCGCTTGTGACCCGGCCAGCCATGGAGACAGACTGGGACTCGGCTCCTGCACCCATAGCCCACAACCCTGCTACTACTGCTTCAGAGAGGGTTATAATCTCTAGAGCACTTCCCCTCTCAGAGGGGGCCTGAGCAAGACTCCCACACTGTCAGAAACCTGAGACAGGAAGGTGTGCTATTCAGAGGAATCACCTTTGCGTGGGAGAGTGGGCAATCTTTTTTCCAGCTGATTCCAATCCACTCCAGAAGCAGATCTAATGTTAAAATATTCTTTCGACTGCGACACCAGGCTCCCTTCTCTTCTGCAGCCCCCATGGTTGGAAAATTCCTATTAACCTTAACTTCCAGAAATAACCTGACCTCTAAAAATTGAGTGGAATCTTTCATTCAGTTCTGAGGAGCTGCTCTCGCTAGAAGTCCTGTCCTTCCCTTGGGCTCAGAGCCCTGCTCATGTAGGATCTCCACTAGAAAAGAAAGCAGTGAGGACAGGCAATATTTTCAAAATGTCAGGAAGCCCTAGACAGTGAATATCCCTAGCACACAGAGAGCCAGGGGGATGTGTCAGTGCACACCCACTTAGATTTCCTGAGTCCAGAGCCCTGTGGAGGCCTGGCCAGGACAGGGGAGGCTGTGTCCAGGTCTATTGTGAGGGGCTCCCTCCCTTTCTCTGGGTGCTGGAACTGTGTACATCTCCACTGAGACCCTTCTCTCACAAATGTGGGCAGTTGATTGGCAAACACAAAATGGGAAACAAACTCATTATTATCTGTTGCTTGGTTGGGGTTTTCTTTGATTTTTGTGGGGTGGCACTGAGTCTTGCTCTGTAGCCTGTGCTAAAGATTACAGTGGTGTCATCATAGATCTCTATAACCTCAGACTCCCAAACTCAAGCGATTCTCTTGCCACAGCCACCCGAGTAGCTGGGACTATATGCACCCACCTACTATGGTTGGGTAAGTTTTCCATTATTAATAGACATGGATGTTGCTCTTGTTAAGGCTTGTCTGAAACTCCTGACCTCAAGGGATCCATCCTTCCACCTTGGCCTCCCAAAGTTCTAGGATTTGGGCTTGAGCTACCTCACTGGGGCCTTGGTGGTTTTCTTAAAAAGTGGCTCTCTATATATACTGACTCAAGGAGAAATACGTAAAACACATGTGTGAGAGAAACTAGGAACAAGACTCCCAGTGGATACAACCTAGATCTCCAATTTCATTTCAGAGTCAAGAAAAGCTAGGTCCACAGTGGGAAATGAGGATGGGGCAGGGTCTGTAGAGGGTGACAGCT